TTTGTCAGGCCTGGGATATAAATAAGCTCATTTCCTTTGGTGCCTCATGCCCAAAGGATGCAAAAAGGACCATCTCATTTCAGATTTACCTGCATTTTCCAGCCTGTTTAGTCAGCTGCTCTCCATGTAGGGCCAGGACTGGTGGCCTCTTCTCAGCCTGCCCACACCTCCTGCTGTGTTAAGGGACAGAGAAGGGCATCTCTGCCCTTGCTCCAAGGCTGGAGCATTAACCCTTTCACCTCCTTGCCAGGCAAAGTGCTCTTCCACCTGACCACAGCAAGGCACAGACCTCCTGGTGCATTGGCTTTACTTCAGACAGCACTGCAATTGGGTGAAGGCTTTGAACAGCTTTAATGTCTTTAATTTACCAGGGAGATCACACAGCAGGTGGTGCATTGTTCAACAGTTCCAGATATGACTGTGTTATGTGTTTTGGTGCTGTACTCGTGCTTTAATTACCATGAATTAACATCAATTAACAGCACCAGAGCAGCCAGTGAAGGCATGTGGAAGTGCATTTCTTGCTCAGCAGCCTGGGTGCTGCAGGTCATATGAGGAAGTTAGCAGGAATCCAGTGTATTGGTGAGGAGTCTCAGGTGTTGCACAGATTTTCTGTATCTTGGATAAACCATTTATTCTCACCGTCCCCAGTTTCTTCTCATGTTGCTTGCCAATTTATAAAATACACTGCCAGCAGACAAGTGCTTTCATCTATTTATTTAGATGAAATGATTTGCAGCAGAGACCTTTTTCACTGTGTATCCTGGAAGCACTCTTGAAATCCTGTCTCTCTCCTCCAAATAAGCAAACACTCACAATGCACTGCTCCAAGAGGATGGCATTACAGCAGGTAAAGCCTGCACATGGCTGAATAAAAGATGCCAGTTTTCCAAGTGCCACCTTTGTGGAGGTAATCTAATTCCATTAGAATTCAATATGGATATTCAGATTACATGGAACATCCACTGCCCACTCACATAACCCAGTCTCTCATGCTGCCAGAAGAGAAGGAGCCAAGCAGTTAACAGCACAATGGTTGCTAAACTGTTTCACCCAAACCCAAACTCCCAGGGAAATTAATAAGAAATACATTTCACAAAAGGCTTGGATTTATTTCTATTATTAACTATCACAATAATCTTCCAAAGGAGAAAAATATGATTCAAGAATAACTCACCAGAAGAATAGAAAGGGATCTCAAGGGTAAAGAGGCTCCTTAGATTCAAGAAAACAGAAAGAAGCCTCAAATTGTCTAAGAGCTGTCTTTAATTATTTAAATTTCTAATGAAAAATAATTTACAAAGCCAACATGGGCTGTCTTAAGCAAATTGATTTCTTAAAATACTTAAAATCACTCGGACATTTCACTTTTGTCTGCGTTGCTTCTTCCTTTCATTCCTGCAGCACTTTCCCCTCTGCCTGTGCAGATCAGAGTAGCTGTCACTGCAGAACAGCAATCTCATTTTGTTTACTTTGTGTTTCAAAGGGAATCGAACAAGCCCAGGATTCACTTTCTCTAAACAAATACCGGCAAGACAAAGGTATCACAGCTATTCTGGGGACAAGAGGTTTGCTGAGATGGGAAATGGTAAAGACTGGCAAGAAAAAAAACAGTCAATGTGTTTTTATCTGAAAAAAAAAGTTAATCCTTTTCACAGCCTCATTTTCTTTGCTTTTGAGATAGCTCTCCTTTTTCATTTAGTTTTTAGAGTTTTAAGCTAAGGGAAGCAAGAAACCGAGATATTTCCTTTGTTCCTCTCAAGTAGCTTGAACAGTCGAGAACAGAAACCAGTCGGAGCAGTGTGATTAGCGTAGCCAATTAAGGTGGATTTGAATATTCACAACGCAGCTATCGAGAAATAATTCTGCCGAGATAAGGGAGTGTGGCAGTGCCTGAGCAGCCAGAGCAGCCTGGCACTCGGGCAGGAACCACGGGGTGATGCTGCACCAGCCTGGCTCAGCAGGGGAGGGAAGTGACAGTAAAAGTAAAATCATAGGGATTTAGGGTTAAAAGGAAAATTAAGCTTAGAAGGCCCTGAAAAAAAAAATAAATACCCTAGGTGCATGAAGACACTGTACCTTGCTAGAACTGCACCTGTGTAGCTAGTACGTGATAAATGATATAATTGTTAGATGGGATGATTGTTTAGTAATTAAATATAATTGCTGTTTAATCGTAAGAATAATCATGAGAAACTGTGGTCAGGGGCCTAAGAAAGATCACTAGAAACTCATGTCAATGTATACAATAGAACAATATATGTTTAATAATTAATTATGTGAGTTATATAACGATAGAATATAAAATATGTTCAGCTCGAAAGCCACGTCGGAGTCAGATTTGGGTCTGTGCCCCTGATTCCCAGAGCTCTCAATAAAAGCACCTGCAGATAATCATATCCTGTGATTATGTGTGCTCCTGAATGCTAACAGGAGGGCTGGGCAGGCAGGAGCAGCCTGGCCCTGCACCCTGCAAAGGGTTAATCTGCCACCTGCTTACTCAAATGCAACAGCATCTGCCCAATGGGTTTGTTTTCCCAACATTCATTCCATTTTTTGCTACCTGACAGTTTTTACCTCTTCAGGAGTTTGGTCCATGGGCATGGTGGGGGGCAAGGAGGCGGGTGAGCTTTGCAAGGTGCACAAGGGCAGCTTGGATGGATGGATCATACAGGGGATGGATGGTAAAGCTCTGCTCTCTTCTGCCCCAAAGGCTTTGTACCATGGTGGTACCCAAGGACCAAACAAGAAAGCAAAATAGCCCTCTGGGAAACCTTGTACACTCCATTGGATAACAACAGCAGCTTTGTTATCTCTGAAGGTGAAAAATCACCTTTTGCACGACAGCACCAGCAATCTGTGCTACATCTCAGTGACACTCCGTGCTCCTTTCTCAGTCATCTCTTCCCAACAACTGCATCACTGCAGACATTTGTGTGAGCGTGGAGTGGCTGGGTGGTGGCACACAGAGCCAGCTGCACCCTGAGCCCGTGGGATCTGCATCCCCAGGAGGCTCAGCTCCCTCACCAAGGGGCTGCCAGGTGATTGGCAGCGTGCAGCATCCATGGGTGCTGATTTGAGAAGGAAATACAGTGGGTTCTGTCCTCATTGCTCCTGCCTCCTCCTCCTCAGCAGCTGAAGTCTGGTGTGCAATTGCAGCAAATGGGGGCAGGAGGGACTCCCTGAGGTGTTCTCCCAGGTACAACTGCACAGGCCACATTCACCTTCAGGACTGCTGTGGAAAAAGCAACAACACAGAAATTAACTATTAGTATTCACTGCTACAAAATATCAAGGAAAACTTAATGAAATGCCTAAGGTGGGACCATTATAAAAATCCTAAGTTTATAAACTGGTATCACATCCATCAGGGTAAAGTCTGTGAGCTCTCAACCTCCATGCCACAAAGAGGCATCAAGCATATTTAGCTGTGGAGAAATGTCTCTCTCCAGGAAGATATATCTTTCTGTAATCACCCACGGTAGTCATTTTACTCTGGAATACTTTCTCCTGGTTTATCTAGTCCAGTAACCCATGGAGGATTATTTTATTTTTAATGGTCTCCATCTATGATTATCCACAATTGTCTCTTTCCTTTCTATCCCCTTTGTGGCACCAGCTCTTTATTAGAAACTTAATAAACTTTGTGTATGTTCTAAAGATAATATTGAAAACGTAAAATTGTGTTCTGCATTTTATAATTGGTGTGGAAAAAAAAGGGGGAGATCTAATCCTATTGGGCCTTCTCTTTTGCTCTCTCTCTCTTCCTTTTCCCTTTTGATGGTAAGCAGCAAATTTTAATTAGCTTCATTTCCACAATTCAGTCATGCATATGTAATCTTTGTTCACACTTTTATAAAGTAAAATTAAGTGAAAGAAATGGGGTAATAATAGAAAGCTTGTCTGAGCAGAACAAATGTGAATTATCAAATGTAAGGAAAGATGAGTGGGACTACACAGCTTGAAGTTCTGCCAGGTTTGAGGTGATTTTTTGGAAACAGAAATGCATAAATAATGCACAGGAACAGGTGCTGATTATCCTGTTTGGGGCATCTTTTTGTTTATTGTGTACTTGGGCTGCTGAGGTACAGTGATAACCACTGAATGTGAGGAGACTGTTTAATAACAACTTCCTAATGTTTCTCTTTTATCATGAGCTGCAATTGTCACATGAGCTTGTCTAGTTAATAAAAATTACTTTGTGAGCCCACTGTTCTTAGATTTGGCACTGGAGCAGGTCACTGTACTGGGCCTCTCTCTATTACAGCTGCAAAAACTGTACTGTCGTTTTGCACTGTAATTTAAAGGTTTCCTAATCTATATACACACCCTCTAATGAAATGTTTCCAGGGGTTACCTTGGGAGCCTTCAGCGCTATGGCTTGAAACTAAAACTAAAGACTGCATTAAATGCTTTCCCCCTGGGGTGAGACACAGGAGGGGGAAGAACATTTGCATCCCTGCTACTCCAGATTATTTGAAAGCATTGGCATGACTGGGATTACTAACTTGGTTATTTTTGTTATCTAACATGAGGAGATGGAAACTTGAAGGGAAACAATCCACGTCTAAATCTAGAGCTCATCTTATTTTGTAACTTCCAAGAAGCCTCTTTAGAGTCTGTCTAAGCAGTTATTTTAAGAAGCTACCAGTTCATTAGCAGCAGCTAAAAACCAGAACCTCCTGTTGATGTAAATCACTCTGTGGCTGCACAGGCTCCATAACCAGCACTGCAGATGCTGAGGTCTTCATTAAAGGAAATGTGAAGTACTGAAGCATGTGGGCAGTGACACATGCAGCAGTGAAGTCTGAAGGCCAGGGAATGTTAAACTCAGGAGGAGATACTTTCTCTTCAGCACCATTCACACACTCAACCTGACAACCAAACCACAGTTTTAGGAGAAACAGCTCTTCCTGTGACAGGAAGTGACTTTCAAATATGAGGGGATTGCTTTCTTTTATTTTTTTCCTCTCTCGAGACCTGCTGTGCTGCCAGTGACTAAGGATAGCCAAGATTTTGGTTAATGGTTAACAGTTAACCACACAGACTCTGACTTCTGCTGGGGCCAGGACCAAAAGCTGCTTTGCTTGCTGGGGAACAGGCAAGCATGGAAAGCAGAGCAGTTCACACCATGAAGGGCTAGAGAACAGCGGCTTCACCCCATGGAGAAAGGAGGAGGAAAATCCAAAAAAGGGTAAGAGGCGTTTGCTATAAAGAAAGGTAAGAGCTGAAAGATTTTTCTGTGTCACTTACTGACTCAGAGGCTGTTGCTCACAAACCAACAATCCCCACAGGTGTGGCTGGTTGAGACACACTCGTTATACCTGATTGCTCGGACATGTGTGGCTCTGGGGCAAAGTGAGGAAGGATCTGTTTGCTGGGAACTTGCAAGTTGGAGAAGGCAGGAGACCACCTCCTCTACCCTGGGACTGCTCATGGCAGGAGAGACACCCACTTCAGACTGTTCTCCTCTCATCGACCACAGCCATGTCCCGGAGTTTGAGGTGGCTCTGTGGGTCAAGATCACCTTGGCCTTAATCTATATCTGCATCTTTGTCGCGGGTCTCTTGGGCAACAGCATCACCATCAAAGTCACCAGGATCCTGCAGAGGAAAGGCTACCTGCAGAAGGAGGTCACTGACCACATGGTGAGCCTGGCCTGCTCTGACCTGCTGGTCATCCTGCTGGGCATGCCCGTGGAGTTCTTCAGTGCCATCTGGAGCCCCTTTTCTACCCCCAATGGCAACATTGCCTGCAAGCTCTACTACTTCCTCTTCGAGGCCTGCAGCTATGCCACCGTGCTGCACGTGGCCACGCTGAGCTTTGAGAGGTACGTGGCCATCTGCCACCCCTTCAGGTTCAAGGCTGTGTCCGGCCCCCGCACGGTGAAGCTGCTCATCGCCTTTGTCTGGGGCACATCTGTCATTGTGGCTCTGCCCCTGCTCTTCGCCATGGGCACGGAATATCCCCTGGAGCTCATCGAGGGCTACGAGAGAACAAGCTCCTGTGTCAGACCTACTCCCAGGCACTACATTCCTGAGCTGAAGCACAACATGACCATCTGCACCTGCCTCTCCTCCAAGTGGTCTCTGTTTCAAGCCAGCGTCTTCGGCGCCTTTGCTGTGTACGTCGTGGTGCTGGGATCCGTCACCTTCATGTGCCACAGCATGATGCAAGCCCTGATGACCCACAAGAAAGGGACAGTGGCAGTGCAGGGTGGACTAAAGCACCAGGAGGAGTACCTAAGGAAAAGTGAAAGTTCGGAGGGCAAGAGCTCCAGGAAACAGATCACTTTATTCCTGGGTAAGAGCCATGTCCTACTCCGCCTCACCTCCCTTTCCACTTTTCCAGAAACCTCTGTTTTTATCTCACCAAGTTCTCCCAAAGGGTTTGAAAGTGGCATAAAATGAGGGATAATACTTTTGGTTCTGATGATACATTTCAAGAAGCCTGATGTTTCTGTATGTTTTTGGTTCTTTTTGTCATTAGAACAGGAGGGAGGGAAAAAGGAGGAGAAATCCACTTACTGTCTGCTATTTTTGTTGGATATTATTACATGCCTACATGCAGCAGTATGGGTGACAGGCTGTTGCAGCTTGACCTTTGGGGTAGGAATAGGCAACAGTTGCCTGGATAGAAAGTAGCTCTACTTGGATGTTTTCCCAGTAAATTACAAATATGAGTGTATTTAGTAAGGCTGCTGATGGGAGGGAAGACTGTCTTGCAAGATCTCAAGCTTGTCTCTCTCTGAAGGCATTTCCCTGTTAATTCAGGATGCTCCTTGGAGAGTTCCCAGCCTCAGCACTTGTGGCTGTTTTGCATTTGAGCATTAAGGAAGCCAGACCAGAGCGCTGATTTGGTGGTCTCACAAATTGTGGTCACCCTCTTTGAATGTTTTTCCCTCTGTTTTTATTTGAAGGCCTGTAACCCTGATATTATATTTGATTCTGATCTGTCTCGCCACATTCATCAGACAAAAACCTAATTGAGCTGTCATTCCACCAGCTTGGAATCTTTCTGGGGCAGTGACCCATGCAGTCTCCACGTTTGTTGATAGTCTGATAGGCATCCTTAATCATGTCCTGCCTGCATTTCTGCTAGTTCCTGTTTTGTTGGGTCTCCTATTGTAATGCTGGGTTTAATAAATGAACCATCTAGGGTGGGAATGCACAGTAGACCCAGTATTCTGTGCTGCTTTTTGGTGCTCTGATATGGCAGAGAAGGACTTGAAATTCATGCACCTGTCCGCTTCTACAACTTTAAGTAGATTAGATTTTGCATTATTTTTTTCCTCCTTTTCAATATTTTTTTCCCCTGAGGATACTCTGCTTCCTCATCGAGTCCTGCTTTTGCCATGGTGCGTGTCAGGCCATGAAGCTGGCGTGAAAATGAAGAAATCGTCTCCTCTCACAAGGCATGGAGAGGGCCCATCTGTGGTTTGTTAAAAGAGCTCCGTGTCCCTCGCTGCAGTGACAGTATGGATTTCTGGGGTTCAGGCTCAGCAGTGGAGCTAAACACACCTGTGGCACCAAGCAGAGATCTGCTCTTGAAGTGCTGCCTGGGGCATCCTTAGATATGTGTGGCTCTCCCTTCCCTGTACATCACCACAGCTACATTAGAGCCAAACCCAAGATCCAAATCCTGGCTAGGGTGAGAGGGGAAGGTAAATTAACATGACTTTTCCTCCTCTTCTTGATTATTCTTCCTGGTACTCTAGCATGGAATAGGAGATGCAGTGCTGTTTGGAAAAGTGCTGAAAAAATGAAAGCAACTGGTTTGCCCTTTATGATAAGGGAATCTGCCACCCAGTGTATCTGACACTTCCACTGTACTCTCACCTTTCTGGAGGCAGGAGACACTTGTGTGAATACCCCAAAATTATTTTAGTGGCAAGACTCTTAATACAAGTCTCACTAATTTACTTGGCTTGAGAAATAAATTAATAAACTGCACAGGAAGAAACTCTGGCTTGCATTTCTGAGAACAATGCAAAGCAATTTAATTTGGAGATTTCATAACAGTGATGCTTTAGGGCAGTTTTAACCCAGAAGAAATGAACATATAAATTGTTTACAAATTGCTGAATTTAAATATTGTGATTTAGAAGTCCTCTTTGTTTTTCATTTAACAGATGGGTCAAATTAAAACCAATACTTGCACATTCACAGCATATTTCACTTTTAATGTGAAATGTAAATGACGGTATATAGCATCATGTCTTTGTACATCTAACAGCAATAAAAACAATTTAGCATTTTCTTCTGGTTGTTAAAAGTGATAAGTTCTATAAAACAAAGATTAAAACCATAAATCTGACTATGAGAAAAAGCTAAGTAGAGGATGACACCGGGAGGAACTTATGTTTTTTAGTGTCATGTTATTGTGTGGCACTTGAGAACATTCATGGAAATTAATTGTAAATGTTGAAAGTGAAAGATTACTTGCCACAGATGGTATTGATGCTTGCAGGAGGTGCTCTGGATGGCGTGACACCACTGCAGAAAATGGGTAGCTGAAATAAGTTTGAAAACACTTGGCTCTTTCATGAAATGCAAGCTTTTAACAGTATTTTAAAAGCTTAATATGCTTGACCCACCCTGACAGGGATCAATTTAGTCTTTGTGGCTACTCGATCTTGTTTCTCCTATGGCCATGAAGGCAGTGACCACCTAAATGGTCACAAGGTGCCACTGGGGACCTCTTGCTGCTCCAACACCTGAGCTGAGGCCCCTGCATTGAGAGCTCTCAAGAAAAGGTGGGTTTGGAGAGCATATAATTTATAATAAGCATATAATTTATAATAATATTTATAATATTTATAATATTTATAATATTTATAATATTTATAATATTATAAATGTTATAAGTGGATTGTAGCAAACACAGAAAATGAATATAAAGGATGGATTCCATAAAAGATGGCTCCAACTAGTGCAATAATTATAAATACTACAAAAAGAATGCTTCCATAGCTGAAAGTAAGTTAAGAATCTTTAGGAAGTGCTAACACTGGGAAAGAGGAGCAGTATGGGATGAGCTGCTGGAGGGAATGTACCACCAGCAGTGCCTGTCCACTGGCCATGGCTACACCAATCTGGTCATTGTCCAGCATGTTTGTACAAAACCAGCTCTGTGGCTTGTCATCACACTGACTCTACAACAAAGTGAGTTCTGATGATCCCAGCTGAAAAAAGTTTTGGTTCTAAAGCTTCAGTGACGTTTCCCTTGGCAGCTTCAGTTTGAGCTTCTGCTAAAAGCCTTGATCATTTTGCATAAAGCAGCCTCAAGCCTACCACAGTACAGACATTGAAATAAGAGTCCATTAGTGCTGCCACATCCTCTTTCTCTCTATTATGCATTTCCAGCTGGCCCTTTGGAGCAGCACTCCTCTGTTTCCACAGATCTGCTGAGTGGAGCTGCTGGGCATGGTGGGTGCTTTGCCAGTTGACATCTGGGCAGCATTTTTCTATCTCCTGTCCATGATGAAACATCTGTCCTTTCTGAGATGTTCCATCCAGAGGAGAGAAATATCAAAGTGATCTGGCTGCTATGGAAGTGTTGGTGCATTAAAGCACTGCTGTAGCTGTCTGCAGAAACCAGAGCTGATGCTGGACCTGCCCAGCTGGAGGCCCTGTTGGTACCATCCAGCACCATCACCTCCCCTGGGACATGTGAGGCAGGAAATTCCCACTGTTCTCTCTTTCCCACCTCTACAGAACTGCAACTTTTCTGCTTTGGGACCATCTGATGAAAGATGAATTTTACCTGGACAGCAGATATCCTACAGCTCTTTTAATAAGCAGGCAAGGGAATTTGTTATAACCTACAGCAGTGCCTTCATCAGAGAAAGGCAGTGTAGTGGAGGGTTTTAATTTTTATAATGTGGTGTAACACTTAAGTGTGTCAAATACGCCGAGTGTCAACCTGAAGGCAGTGGCAGTGGTGGTTTCCTGTGATATGGTATGGGACAGACAGCTTCAGAGCAGGTCTGCTTTACAGGAGGTTTCCTGATACTGGTGAGTGCCATGGAATGACAGAATCCCTGTCTCGAAGTGAAAGAAAAAAAAAAAGAAAATGGGCATAAGAGAAAGGCTGGAAGAGCTAGGCAGGAGGAAGTCAAGGAAGTCAGACCTGACCAAGGCCATGCCACTTTTTTGGTGGCTGTTAAAGCAATGCCAGGCTATTCTATAAAAGCACCAAAACCTCTGTAAACACCATGACCAGCTTTACTGAGCCATTAGCTGAATCTAGCTAAAACCTTGACTCAGAACTTCAAAGGATCTCTTAGAACTTCAGATAAAGCACCATTTTCTTCCCATATACTTCTGCTGGCAGTTTAATGCTCTGCTCAGAATAAAGGTATTATGTGTAGGAATAGCCTCTCAAAAGATCACTGAAGAAGTGTATTTTGTAAGGCACTTGGCAAATTACTTCAGAGTTCTTCAAGTAGTTGTGAAAAATGCATGGTTGTCATCTAGATATGACTCAGACACACTGTAATTCTACAATAGACTTCTGTTACAGGAAAATTAGATGCTTCTTCATAGGCTGGAATATGGCTGGGTTTTTCCCTACTGAAAAAGCTAAAGGGTAGGGATAGAACAAAAATGAAAAGAATAACCTAATTTATGAGATCCCAGAACACAGCTGCAGCCCACGTTCTTTAAACTCACTTTATTGACTCCTCTTGGTTCATTTCTTTAATCATTCCATCGAGCTGCCTTTCTTCATGCACCTTGTTGCAGACATGTCTGAAGATAAGTACACTGTAAGCTGGATGTGATTTTAATCTCTCTGTGTTTTGTATGGTGATTCCATCCATATGTTGTCCTGAGCAGGGCTTTGAATTCCACAAGACAAGTAGAAGGCTCAGTGCACTGAAATGGGTGGACACTTAGACCAACAGACCAGAGTCTGGGGTATCCACCCTCTGTAACTGGGAAGCTTTTTCTTTTAGGTCTTGTTTCTTGGAAAAGTGATAAAAGCAAATTATTTTCCTGCTGGTGTTTGGTAAAAGTTGTCTTCCTCTTCTCTGCAAAAGCACTAACCTGGTGTCAGTGGCAAAACCAATCAGTGCTGTTGAATGCTGGTAGCACAAAACTGAAGCTCAGCTATTCAACAGGTGACAATGGAAAGGCTGCATTGAGGGATGATGGCTTCTGAGGGCAATTGTGTACAAATAATCTTCTCTGAAGAGTGAGGGAACTTCTGTCAGTTAAAAAAAAATAGACTCAAGGCAAACTTCCAAAATCCCGACATCTGTATGTTCAGGTTTCCCACACAGCAATTTAAAAAGGAACATA